ATGTTTCTAAAAGTTAGTTAAAGCCAATGAAAAGAAAATTAGCCTTAGTAAAATGACTTAAAACATTTGCATTTATAACTGTAAAGATACGATGCGCACTAGTCAACGAAACCATTACCGCCTGCCAGATTGCCCCCACGCTAACCGAGGGAGTTAGAGAGATGTCATATCAAAAAACCAGCTGAGCTGAAATTCCTGCTCGAAAACGTTGCTAGCTCTTAGACTATATTATAGCTGCTTGCCTCGCCGCTCGTGCGATAAATTTAAATTGCTTCGATAGTCGACATGCGACTTCTGTCTATTCTTGGACTCAACCAAAAACCTAATTTTTGGTAATTTGTATCTTTATTTTGCTTACAACAGCAGTAGGATAAGTAAAGATAGTCCTACTAGTATTAAATATACTAAATGTGAAAGGTTGTGAGTGAGTGAGTGTATTTGTTTGTAACTCGTTCATGCTAAAACAGCAGGAAACATTTCAATGAAATTTTGCACACTTATAGCCTTTAACCTGGAATACCATATGGGATGTTTTTTGAGGAGGCCACTTTTTTCAAAAGTCAAGTACATATTTATTAAGGAAGAACAAATATTACAACGATGTGGGTGTCAAACAATAGAATTTTGAAAACGATTTATTACAAAAGCCATTTTGAAGAGTTGCCACCTTTTCATAAACTTAATCTCAATTGTTCTTTTCTTTCTCATATCATTATTGTCACTTTATTCCAGGCGGAGGCATTTTTTAAATTTTCATTTGTTAAAAAATTTAATTTTATTATTAAAAAATTTCAAGACGAAAAAAAATTAATTTTAGTAGGGTTGTATGTCCTCTTTCTATATTTAAAAAATCATCGCATTCCAATTTGTATTTTCAGAGAAAATGATTAACTTCCGGACCATTGTAAAAAAATTCAAATGCTCATAAAAAGTCTAAATTTGAAAATTTTTCAATGAAATGTACGGTGAGAACTTCATTTGAACCAAAAATACTGGTAATTAAAATTGCCGGTATTTATTAGTAAAAAATTTTAGTTCTAAAGAATAAATAAACAAAAAAGTTTATTCCAAACGTTCAGCCATTATTTTAGTAATGCCGGAAATACCATAAAAAATAATGGTAAAAATTTGCCCGGTATTTTTAAAACTAAGTTAACATTTTCGTTGTTTTTCCACATAACGGTGACACCAATTTTTTTTTTAGTAATTTAACGGAAGTTTAAAGTTGCCCCACCTAGCGGCGAGTAGTTATAATGTGCTAACAAGCCGCCTTCACCACGCGCAACAAAAAGCAAAAATTTTCGCCAAGGTTACCGTAAGATGGCGCTGAATAACAATATTACTTGCACCAACCCATGACTAAAACGGTGTTCACATGATGAGAGGCGAGCAGTTGAATCCAAAGTTGTCTGCTGTCCCCCTTCCCCCTCAAATTCATTGGAAGTGTTTAGTAGAAAGGCCGTTCACACCAGGCGACTGGTGCTTTCAACTAAAAACTGACTGTAAAATAGCGTCATGTAAACACCGTATAACATGGCCATGTATACATCGATTATTTTACATCAACCAAACGGATGTATGTTATTCGAATGTAACCTGCAAATAGTACTTAGAACAGCAATGTATAAAAATTTCACATTTTTTATAAAATTTTAGAGTGTGACGGTGTAATCTGAAACAAGGCCGGAGTCGTTTATTTGAAGTCAGAAAGACGTTTGTATGAGAAATCTTTTTGTGTAAAAGTAACGCCCCCAAATGACTGTAACATAGAGAAGCCAATTATCGGTGAGAAGAGTTTTCTTGCCGCTTTTGGACTCTATTGCTATAAATTATTATTTGGAACTTATGAAAATTCTCTTTTTGGTGTAGATAAAGATTTTCTTTCTTCTTAGAAGTTTAAACTTTTTTCTTTTTATATAGATCAACAGGCTAATAACTTTAGTCGTCTCCGTTAAAAAGCTTTTGTATACAAAATAATAATATATTAATAATAATAGTTTTATGTTTAAATTGAGTCATATGCATCTCCATAAATACGTGTTTAACTTAATTAAATAGAGAAGCAATTCTACGTGCAATGGATTAAGCACTTTTAATTTAATACCTTGTGAATAAATGTCCGTAATATATTTTCTTCAGCTCTACACATCCATCTTGTCTTTCTGCCGCCAACTATATTGCTGTAATGTAGAGCGCACCTCTTTCAATTCCTCCAACAGCGACTGCACATTAGGACGCTCAATATTAAGCACATGTGTAGTATCCTGTGGCAAACCATCGATTAGCTCCTGTGAGATTTTCAATTCGAATTTAGCACAACCAACGGTGTTATCTTGCTTATCTGCCGAGGGTGGGATGTAGCGTATGGAAGACAGTTCGTTTACTGAAAATGGGATAAGAGAAAAGATTAGCAGAGGAACTAAAGAGGATATCATTTATTTATGAAAAGTGCAATACTCACTTCTAAATGCTTTATCTCTCAGCCGCTGACGTATAGCTGTGACATTGGCGGCCAACACGCGACACATAGATGCGGCGTGTTCCTTTGGCAGGCCCAGCTGTTGAATCTCTTCGCTGAACACTGACTCGCTAACAGCATGACGCGACGCATTGATAAGCAAGAAATGTATGCAGGCGACTGCTGATTTGCCATCGGTGGATATGTCGGCCGTTAACGATTTAATGACGCCCTCCTTTGTGTACAAAAATACATAGTAGAATGAGAGTGGAAGCTTTAAGGTATAATTGTTTTGAATGTATGTATACATACCTCGAACTGCTGACCAACAATTCTCTTGGCAACCAGCTCAGCAAGTGCTTCTAAGTTCTTAGCGCTTAGCAACGAAAGCGTGGAGATAATTTCCGCTAATACCCAGTCGGGACAGTCGCCGTCGCCACAGAAGCGGAATTTCTGTAAGGACAATGAAATTAATTAGATTTTCCAGTTTAAATTTCTGCAATAAAATTAAATAGCTGGAAGAAATCGATCATACGGAACAGTTACAAGGGCGACAATTAAATTGTTGATCAAAAATTTAACGAGAATTATGATAGGGTCATTAATAAGCGAAAGCTACCATAAAATCGACTAACGTTTGCTTTAAACGAATGATTTTGGCTTTCTATTTCGTCTATATTAAATTCGCTGAAGTCTTAAATACCGACTTTATTTTTTTAATTTTATTTTATTTTTTTTTTTCAGCCTAAGTATTCTAATTAAGAGGGAAAAATTAACAATTTTGTTTACACACGCCTCACGTGCATACAAGTCACACAACTCACAATGTACATACATTGGAATCTTCGTTTATACAGTGGAAGTGCAGCAAGCAAACTCGTACAGAAGCAATTAATAAAATTTCCCTATACTTGACTGTCAGCACAAAAGCAAAATTTATGACACTTGTTGCGTATGACAATTTGAAGAGGAAGAGAGGCAGCAGACATGAGAATTCCTATTCCCTCCCCCATACGCGATACCTTTGCAGCTGGTAACTGATAGTAGAGGCATGCTGTCAACACCCCTTTAACTCGCTGAAGCATTAAAGCTAAAAAGCACACTACAATTATTTGTATATCATTTGAAATGCATAAAGTGTAACGGTTTGGAAACAGCACTCCACCTCCTCAACTTTTTACACAGTGCTAATCGTAGTCGTTTTGTTAGCTGTAATTATTTTTATTAAGCGTATGACTTTCTTGCGAATGTAAATATGTATACACTTACGCATGTGAATAAGTTTGTGCGTTTCCAAGTAAGCTTGTATCCTTTAGATCCTGTTTAAAAATTTTGCTATAAATAAGCATGCAAGTTTTTGAATCTTCACAGTTTGTGCTGAGCAAAACGCGAAATAACTTCATTTAAAGTAAGATGGATACTATATAAAAGAGGGTTAAGCCTAAGGAAAATATCTTAGTGCTTCGGTTGTGTTGAAATTTGGAATTTAAAGTGAATTTTAATAACATATTTTATGACTGGTCATATCGATAATAGTAGTATGAACCGACTTTAAAATATTTTCAAACTAGTAAAACAGAACTTATGTTATAAACAAAGTAACTTTTAGAGAAAAAATATCTCCGACTTCAATCCTTATGCAAAAATTTATGAGTACCATCAATTTTTTCATGATCCAATGAAGGGAACCTAATTAGTATGGGACCACTCTTGAGATACCATCTTTCCGTTAAAGAAAAAATATTGCGGTTAAAAAGAATTATCACGGTTCACGTTTTCTTTAGTAAACTATGAATGTTCAAATAAGATCGGTGTTTCCAAAAACCGTTTTTTTTTTAATTTAGTTAATGATCTTTTTCAGGTTTTTTTAAATTTAGGTTTTGATCGTTTTTTTTTGCTTTTAAACCGAACACCGAAAATTCGATTTTAACATTCCTCAGTAATGGATAATTATTTTGCAATTCGTCGAGATAAGAAGAAAATTGTACGGCGTACCACAAATTTCAACTTCAACTACTTCATTTAATAAAAAATTAACAAAAAATATTTACCATGAAAAACGTTGGACATATTAAAAAAAATCACTGTACACTGTGATGTGAATAATATATTACCATACATATGTAATTATATACATATCGCTCATTTACTTCAATAGTGCCATAATCCAAAAAATACAAATTTGGAGTTGAGTTTGCAGAATTACCTTTTCTTCTACGTTGTGTAAAAATTTCATAGCTCTATGCGAAACCGCGTATGTGAAGTTGTAGAAATTATTTTCTAGAGCGTAAAAACAATCATATCTCAAAATGGTTCTCTTTTTTATAAAGCAATCGCATTTCTGGCTAGTATATTTCAGGATGAATGGATAAGGATTGAGCCAAGAGCTTGTGTGAGCAAATCCAATTTTGGGCAGCCAATGTCAGTTACGCGGTTTTGCAGAATTATGCGGTTTTGTACTTTAAACGGCGATATGTAAATTCAAAAATTTTAAAGCCGTTTTTCTCGAGGTTTGCTTCTCGGCATTATGACACTTGTATTTATTTATAAATTAAAACAGTTTGTGAAATTAAGTTTTTTTTTGTAAGTCCAACGCTACATTATATTTCATATATTTGGAAATGAAGTTGTTATATAAAATTAAAAAAATTATTGTTTTCATTAATATGCGTTGCACAGCCGTAAGTAATAAGTGTAGGTGAAAATTTAATTTAATTTGATATCGGTGTTTTTGTAATTCGGATTTTTTCGGCAAACCGAAAATATCAGGTTTTTAACGGTTTAGACCGTAAATAAAAAACCGTTACTAATCAAAAAACTGATTTTTTTGGAAGGTACCCATCCTTAAAGTAAACCTTTATTTGAAGTCGGTTAAAAAGGGAATAAAATTTTTGAAAAAGTTGAATTAAGCGTTTAAAATTATCTTCTACAATTATTAATTTGTGTATCGGTTATGCATGTTAATATATCTACTAGTTGGAACTTAGTTCAATGTTACTCAAAAATCAATTTTACCCAAGAAATTTCCATAATTTTTATCCAACTATCGTTACAGGTTATTTCTCAAGTTTGATCGGAAACTCAATATGTACGTCCTCCAATCCTTAGCTTCCATTATTTCAATCTTTACTATTTGCCAAAAAGTTTACATTTTCGCACAACCTATCGGCGATGAGCTTGTCACTTGTGAAGATCAACTATCCAAATACCGCCACTTTTTACTTCAAGCCATCCTAAGCTTTGAAGATGTTTGCGATGCCTATGACACTCATCCGCTTAACCCACTTGAAGCCTTTTATATGCAGGAACAACAAGAATCAGCTAATGCGCCTATTCCACGCGCCCTCCAAATTAGCAGCGCTACCGCCGCCGAACAGCGGAGTGAAATTTGGGCTTTTTTCAAGCTGTTGATGGCACAATTTAACGATGTGGATTTCGTGAATATAATAAAGGAAGCCGTTATTGAACGTTGTCGCATCAAATCACAACAACAACATGACGAGAAACGCAACTCTGTGGTGCTGGGTAAGAAGCAGCGATTCCATTCTTGGGGCGGCAAGCGCGCTCATCTTGGAGTTGACGCCCAAAACTTGGATTTGATGTAAAAGCCCAAGTGCTGTTGAACCACTACGCCGTGCATAATTATAATTTCTTAATGGGCTGGATACATTTGTTTATTGTACATACATACATATACGTAATCGCCACACACAAACGCATGTAAACTAGAAAACTTTTGTACGTTTTCTGCATTGCAATTACATTAAAGTACAAAAAGCATAAAACTTGTGGTATTTCATATTTATTTAAAGGTTAACTCACCATATTTATTAAGTTTTCCCAATTGTGGCGCCTTTGCTGCAAAATTGGCTCGAAATTAATTTAGGAATTAGCTAGAATAAAAAATACATAACAGAAAACAGCTGTTCGTGAGGTGTCTACCAAAATGTCAATTTGACATTTTATGGCGTTGCCAACTACCGGAAACAGCATATTCACAATGAATTTTTCCGCCGGAAAAGTAAAGAATTGTGAGAAAAAATAAAAATTGGTTTTGTGACGATTTCAGGGACCGTAAGTAGCAATTATTGTTTAAAATTGTTTAATTTGGATAAGCGGTTTGTTTATTATTAGGAAAGGACTTGGGTGGGGTTTAGTAGCGCTCACAAATATTTCGGGCTATTCCGTCCAAAGGGGTGGCCCGATCCAAACAAAAAATTCCACACACTTGTAGTCAAGGGGCTACGCATTATTTTAACACTCACTTTTGTAAATTTTGGTCACTAATTTATTTACGAATTGGGTTTTAAGTATGCCCTTTTTTGTAAAATTCGGAAATTAGAGTACATTTATCACTCCTATTCTCCTTAAAGCAGGAACTTCACCAATACATTTTTGTATTCCCCTTCACTTTACACTTCACTCGATCAGCTATAACTTGCTTTACGACTTTAATATTAACCAATTAATCACAATTAATTAAATAAAAACACCTTCAAAATTACGCGTCTGACTTTGGTTGCAAATTAAATGGCGGATTTCAGCTGTCAAACTCCAAAATATGCAAAAGAATGAGAGACAAAAGAAGATAGGGTATAACCCAGTAAGCATTAAAAATATACAAAGGTGTTCTCTGCAAAAGGTGTTCAGCTGCTTTTCTTCGCAAACCAGAAAAGATAATTCTACTTTGTGAGGGTTCAGCCCCCCTTCTTTGGCAACACAGAAAGGAGAATTCTACTGCCTGAGGGTTATAATCCCTAAGTGCGGCCGAAGGCCGCCTACGCCGAAAGGAATTCTACGCCAAAACACATTTGTTTAAAATATAAATTTCCTTTTGCGATTACTTGGTATGAGGATTACCGAAGATT